TGTGTGACAGTGTTTCAAAGGGCAGTCACACCCCCTTGAGGAATGGCTGTAAATCTTAGTACAAGAGACGGCCACGGAGGAGAACAGAGGAGAAGAGTGGCGGGCTTTCTAAGTTCCATCATGTAGCATTTTAGAATCAAATTCCTTGAAAGAGCCCCAAAACTACTGAAGTCTCATCAGCAACACATACGCACACAAACCCCAGTTGTATTTAGGCACAGTAGTGATCTAAATGCTAATGTCAGTAAATGCTGGGTATCTGATTGCAGATGCATAGCAGCGACTTGTTGTGTGCTCCCATGCCGGCGCAGGACATGCATCCCCTACAGTCTTTGTGTTGTGTTCACCTGCAGCGGATGATCAGCCTGCCGTAGTCAATGCTACTTCTTTGAGGTGTGCTTGTTGTGTCGGGGCCCTGAGGCAGACAACACCCATTTAGTACAATGGGAATATCCGGATTGTGTTTTTATCTTAGAACAGATTGGTTGTGTTAGCTGTCTGCCTCTGAAATGCCTACGGTGCTTCACAGTTGCTGGGTACCTGGGTGCTGTTTTCAAGGTAGACAGCTTGTCTGGATGAGTGGCAGGTGCTGTGGTGGGAATTAGACCATCTGAGGGAAGGGAGGGCGGGATTTACACCTCTCACTCTGTCTGGAGACAAAAGGTGGCGTATTATAAATTGTAAATGTAATGTTCCTTCAACAAGACATAAGTCTTTTACAGATGCCAGATAGTCACAGTGTAACAGCCCAAACATGTTTCCAAGAGGCAGTATTTTCCCTGAAGAAGGATTTTATGTACCCCCCCCAAAAAAAAGAAAGAGGAAAGTAACGTGTGGTCTGTTAAAACCAGAGATAAGACTCATTTGTAGAGGCAGATCTTTGCTGTAGGCCATTCTTTCACTCTGTGACTCCGCATCAGGGGGTCAGCATTGGAGATAGCGCTGCAATCAGCCACCACATTGAGCAATCACCAGTGCATCCATAAAGAGGGTCTCCATTTGAAATGATGTGAGCTTCATTTCTTACTAAATGTTTGAAAAAAAAGGGAAGTGCTACTTTTTTTTTTCAGACATTTTTATATTGTATTGTTGTATCGCTGCTGAGTCTGCGTAATCCGAGCATTCACTGGGACAATTTCATCCACATTTTACTTTTTTCAATCTTGTGCTAAGAATATATGAAAAGCACTGTTACACAAGGAATTATTTTTGCTGAAGGATTCGCAGTACAACCCCGTCTCCCATTCAACTAAACTGCACTCTCAACAAGTTAAGTTGAAGTGTACAATATGCATTAAATAGGCTAATAGAAGAACAGCCGTTTCCTTCCACATCACACCGACGCTGTAGCCTAATACCTCTGCAGCCCCTCGTAATGCACTTCTCGATTTCATCAAATTTATCACAGAGGACGGGAAGAGTAATGGCAATGTAAGAAAACAAAGTCCACGAGGGACGTGTACTACATCATTCAGATTTAACACCGCCATCTGTTTCGTGTTGCCCAGGAAGGGCAACATCAGTGCTGAAGACGAAGCATTTACAGAGATGACAGATACTCTGGAGAGGCAGGGTCTTTACCTGTGGAAAAGTAGATCTGGAATCAGGCGCCTGATGAAAGAGACGCCCTCCTCTGTTGTGTTTGCCTCTCGTGGTCCACGCCTGTGCTTTAGACGGATGCGTTTGTTTTTTCTTGGCCAGTGAAGTTTGGGGAAACGCAAACCAGCGGACGCCTTCTGCTAATGAATGTCAAATCAGCGGCTGACCTATTTAGAAAGTCAGAGCATTTTCACACCTATGACAGGGCTACGCCTGGAGTGAGATGTTTGTGTTCATGCAACCAGCTGTGCACTTCTGACAAGGCGACGCTGTGATTCGGAGTCAATGATGATAAATGTAGAATGTACGAGGCAGTGGAGAGGGTTTTTGAGGTTAAAGTTTACTTTTATCTCATACTGCTTTAAACTTGGCAACATATCTTCTTTTTTTTCTTTGCTTAATTAAAGGATCCTGAAAACTTCAAATAAAGCCAGTGACTGGAGGATGTGCCTTCAATGTTTCATGTACATGATGATACAGCTTTGTATGGAGTATGCCTACATCAAGCTGTGCGTTAACTTCATATTTGAACAAAACAAGCAGCGTGTATGCAGGCAATCGGCTTGAAGTTGCCGTGTAAGACAAGTCATTCAATCTTTCCAAAAAAAACAATTAAACTAACCAAGCTGTCTGCCTGTGTAGCAGTTAGCTGTTAACAATAAAAGCGGTGTTATCACTGCAGCAAAATGCAAGATTAGCCGTGGACAGACACAGAGGTGCACATTCACTCACGCACGGTCGCACGCGCACACACAAGCGTTGAGCACGATTCTCCTGGCGGGGATAATAATGATCTACAAAGCAACTGCTCCTCTACTTAAATTGTTCTCCCCTAGAGTCCCTTTCTGTGATAGTACTGTACTTTACACTGAATATGTTATCTGTGTTCTGGCATTCAAAAATAAAGCTCTTTTTCAGTTCAAATTCTTGATGTTTGCACTGCACACTGCTGGTTGATGATAAATGTGCTGAAGGACAATAGGGGCTGTCTAACTTTTGGCCACACAAAGCACAATTTTACCGGAATCTTTGACCTTCAGGATGTGTCTCTCAACACTCACCGGTCTCTGTAATTGAGAAGAGAAAGTAACTACAGAGAGAAGTTGTGTAGCATTATTGATAACATGTCACCTCAGAAATTAGAGGCGCCTAACAGCTTTTGCTGCACTCGTCTCCTTTGTGAAGAGAGAAGGTCTGCAGTGGCAGCTCTCAGCACAGCAAAGTAGCAAAGTACTATTATTGGTCCTCTCTGCCTTCAGCAACAGAGAAACCTCAAGAGTAAAAAGAGTTGTTTTTTAAACAGGTTTGTTTGTGAGGTAAACAGTGAAAATGAATGCAGTGAAAAATGCTGACCGCCTACAACATGTAAGCAAGCCTCAGAAATAGTGAGAGCATTGCTGTGCAGCAACCTTTGTTTGTTTTATTTGGATGTTTTTTTTATTTTCTATTGTTGAATATATGACCCAGAGTCGGACAGGAAAGCCCAAGATTACCCAATATTTCACACGCTTCCTAATATGTCTGTAAGCACCTGTGAATTGTGGCAAATAGATTTTCTGACATTCATAAAAATTGCTGTTTATTTTGAAGGAGACCTCTCTGGAATACACCCCTGCATTTTGGCATTGTGGGAAATCAAATTATTTAGCATCCAGTCAGGTCTTGTCTCGGGGTACACAACATGACGAGCCGAAACATGCACTCAGCTGCCACGGTCCTCTCTCCGTCTCCCCGTCCTCTCCCTCTATACGTCTCTGTTGGCCGGTGAATGGTGTCAAGGATATTGCAGCGACATGACACCCGTGGCAGAGCGCATGGTGGCTCCTCTCCCGCAACAGCTGACTGGAAGCCTCTCGCCCAGAGCAGCTGGCCTCGCTTCTTGGACGGAGACTACGTTAGCACGGGCGGGAAGCCTTGTTTGCTGCTGCTGGCTTAGCATTGTTTGTAGTTGAATTATGAACTGTGTAAAATTCATGCTCAGCCTGACTTTAGGCTCAAGCCTCTGTTGGGAGCTTTTTTCACATCTCACTGAGCCGCCGCAGTACTCTTCAAACGATTCCTCTCACTATCCTCAATTTAGACTGTTGTCTTGTCCATGCTTACCAAGAAATGACTGCAGAAAACAATAAAAAAATCAAACATTATCAGAGGGGCGTTATCAGAATACAATACAAGAAGACATATTTCCTCACTTTCTTTCTCTGGTATTTAGTAATGCAGAAAATGTAACATAAATGTGTTTTTGTTTCTTTCTCAATGCCAGCACAATGCAGGTGAATACAGTATGTGGGGATCACACCATAGATTATTTACAATTTTCAACAAACTAAAAACAAAGTTCTCAAATGACCCCATTACTCTGTATATCCTCAAAACACCTTTAATAACGGTTTAAAGGCACCACACAGTCACACTAATAATAGTACCTCTCAGAATTAGAGGTGACACTGAGAAGTTCAGTTTGACAGCGAATTATAAATAAAAATGAAAATGACGATAATAATTACTAAAAGGTGTAATCACTGCGCAGCTTCTCTTTATGAAGCAGATACTGCTCAGAGCAGACTTAATAGCAGACAGAATTAGTAGAGATTGATTTCCTGGAGTGTTGCAAACTGTGGTGTAATTTGATCGAGGAGTGGAGTGTCTCAACCTCTCAGACCTCAGTTGGGCTTTTTAAGATCACACTGCAAAAAAAAGCTACGGTAACTGGAGTAAAATGTACTCCGTTACTTCCACCGCGGTGTGTCATTACTGTCACCTCTTTGCCCTCAGCAGTCGGGCGGTGTTGATGTGGTGTGTCGGGGTTTTTCGATGGTGCCTTCAGCTCCCTAATCCGGCGAGCAGAGAGGTGCTGCTGTCGCTGACAGACTGACTGACAGGCAGGGCGGAGAGGACCCAGCTGTGATGGCTGGTGTCGGCTCAGTGGCAGCCTTATGATGAATTACCTCTCTTGAATGATAGCGCGGTTACTGAATGATACTGACGCAGGATTGTTCTGTCAGCATCTCGACGGCGACCGCAAATAAAAATAAATAAATAAGCGAGGAATGAACCCGCTCTGCAAATCGCCTCCCCATCTTTTTATTTTTCATTAAAGTTGCCACCTCTCATAGATCTCCATATGCAGTGATATGGAACTGGAAGTTTGTGCAGAAGTACGTTGGAGGAAATTGCCTTATAACGCCACAAATGTGGCAGAACTTCTGAGTGATTGAAAGCTGCCTTTAGTATATAGAAATGTCTTTCCATGTGTTTTTCTTTATTGCCACTGGAGAAATTATGGTATATGTCATGATAAATGTTACTTTGATGTTCTACCATAAGTTACATCGAGACAGAATGCGTTGTTTTCTTGTTTCATATTCTGATATTCACCTTTCTGCTTTGTCTGTTTACAGCTCAGATGACTACTACGAATACGGACAAAGTGAGGAGTCGTATGATTCGTATGGTGAGTTGCAGTCCTTTCTTTCGCCAATATACCTTCTGGCAATTGTCACAACATCAATTCATAGTTCCTCACTCAGCAGTGCTGGCCTCATTTAAAAAAAATTTTAAATAATATCCATATCATTTCTGAAGAAAATTACAAACCCTACCTTTTAATTAGTATTTCATCTAACATCAACTTATTATCCAAACATTAATGCACTTTCACCTGAAGGTTCTGACGGGAAGGAGAGAAGTTAAGTTAAGCAGGACAGAGTGTCTCTCTTTGAGCTCTCGTTGACATTTTTGAGCATTGTCGGATGACACGTGATCATTAAGTCACTCGTTCTGTTAAAAGCTTCTTTTAGCTCTTTCCGGTAACTTCTGACATTGTCGGCTCCCTTAGGGCGAACTCAGCTTGAGTCGTTTTTCTCTCCGTCTCTCTCTCTCTCTCTCTCTCTCTCTCTCTGCCCCTCTCTCTCTCTGCCCCTCTCTCTCTCTCTCTCTCTGCCCCTCTCTCTCTCTCTCTCTCTCTGCCTCTCTCTCTGCCTCTCTCTCTCTCTGCCTCTCTCTCTCTCTCTCTCTGTCTGTCTCTGTCTCTCTGTCTCTCTCTCTCTCTCTGTCTCTCTCTCTGTCTGTCTGTCTGTCTGTCTGTCTGTCTGTCTCTCTCTCTCTGTGACACTGGATCATCTCAACACACCCCCTTTGGCTGCAGTGGGTCATAATGGCTTCTTTTGCCAGTCTCAAACCGTCTTTCATTTGAAGCATTTTCTCTGTAAAAGTCTCTTTTCCTTTATAGTCAGGCTACTTGAGCAGTACCTTCAGCACGAGGCGGGCAGAGGCAGACATGGCAGAGCTCTGAGAGAGAGAGCTGGCGTGTAGGATTCAAAGTTAGTCAGTCTTTGTAGTAGCCTATTGGAACCCATGTGGAAGAGGTTTCTTCAGATGTTTTTCCAAGATCGATTGCAGGCCTCTTTCAGCTTATTGGGATGTCTTGAGCTCGCAGTTCGCAATTCTTTCATATTTGAAAGTTAGGCTTTCTCAGCTGCAAGAAAAATCATTTGTTTTTATAAATCACTCAATAAAACCTGATGAGTTGAATTAGAATGAATTAAATAATTACACAGCAACAAGACAAACTTGTTATTTGACACGTGAGGCAAAGCCTACAAACATTACAACAGGCATGTACACCAGTAAGTCATTTCCAAATTCAAGTCATCGCATTTATTATCATAGAGTGCTCGAGTACTAAAGCTGCAGTGGGCCGCTCATCAGAACTGCATGTCTGTAGGTCGACTGTCTTCAACTCCCAGTTCTGAATGAAATTGCAAGTGACGGTTACATTTGTGGCTGTACCGACTAGTTTGGAACATGGACATTCAAATTATTATTAATAACATTCAGAAACATTGCATGCAGGCTTGCATTCCCAGTTCTCTCTCCCTCACACACAAGGCGAGCGACGCAGCGCTCTTTAGTTGTCTCAGTCCAAAAGTCAAAATTTGTTGATGAAATAATTTCCAAATTTCACATGTTTTTAACCAACCAATATTCAGTTTTAATGAATATTTGTTGGCAATTAGACTTTCAAAAAAACCCAACTCAAAGCGGCGGTCTAGACTTCCACGCTAGCTCCATATGACTCCATGGTACGAGTGGTCAGCCCTCAATTTCACTGTGCCTTCACTGCTCTTCTCCACTCTTGTATTTGCATGCATGTTTGTGTGTGTATGAATGTGTGTGTGTGTGTCTCTGGGAAGCAAAGAAAAAGTGCAAAGGCATTAAAACAGTCATAGCCAGCACCTCATTAGCACAGTATACCAGGATGTTGACATGAAGACATGTCTTTGTATTTTCTTTCACATCATTAAGTTCATTGTCCTCCGCTAAAGCTAATACAGGGCAGATATTGGTTGATCCCTGTAATCCCGTCACCAGCTAACACAATGTTTAACCTATTTAAACTATATAGTTTCACAAGTTTATTCAGGCCCTGTTTTCAAACCAAAAAACCTGTTTAATGTCAGCTAAACAGACTAACTCTGTTTAAGGCCACTCCCAATGACTGGTCTCTGCTTTAGAGGCTGATTATCATGTCTGGAACGAGCTGCGAATGACTCCAGTTCCCACAGAAGTCAGACACAGTTTACACCTCTAATTTTCAACAATAGTGTCAACCTTCGACAAGATACAGTAAAAAGTGGGCCGAGGACATATTTGCTGCAGAGTGCACCTGACTGATAACAGAGCTAACGTAGAGTTAGGTGCAGCAGGCCGAGCTGCTGTACAGCTGAAGGTTGATCTTTCTCGAATAGTGTATTTGTAGTCTTTGTGTGAACCAGAAAATACAAGATGTACGATATAAAACATTTATTTAGATTCAGGTTCAGGTGACCTATTTAATTATTTAAAATAAAATATATTTTCACGATGTAAATGATGTTGTAAATGCAGATGTAGGATTACAGTGTTGATTTGGATTGTGTTGGATTCGTTTGTATATTTATGTCTGCTGAGCTACAAGCTTTAAATAAAATCCAAGATTTTTTAAATGCAATATAAATTATTTAAAAACAGATTCATATTATTTTGTATTTTTTTACTTAGAGACTGACTGCAAATGGATAACGTATTTATAACCATAAATCTATTCCGCATTATTAAATGTATTGTTCATCTCGTGCTTTTGGAGATTTTAATGTGTTTTCGAAAGCTAACCAAAACTTTTCCCAACTTTTCCGACCACACAAGTAGAAGAACTGAGCACCTTCAACTCATGAGAGCGCTTTCCACATGAAATGAAAAGTGCTGCCTCTTGGGTCACACAGAAAGAGGGCGACGGTTCAAAGGAAACAGATAAACAGCGTTGAAGTGCACCCTTGTTATCGAAACACAAGGTTACCTTGGTCTATTTCTTCAAAGTGACTGTCAGTGAAAGGGTGACAGGTTTAATTAAGGGGTATTGGCTATGTGCTGCCAACAGAGAGCCTGTACGCAGAAAAAAAAAATCCCTTTGTGAGCCTCAGCTCTGGGGAAGTCTCAGCGCTGGCTGAAGATCAGACAAAGGGTGCCATCGATAGTGGCACTTTCACATTGACAGTACCAGGGGGGTGAACACGAGGCTGATTTGGGCTAATGGTAATTGTGACCTTTTTTGCTGGGAGCCACTAAACGGGTCCTTTTCAAGTAGCTATTTGATTCTCACATTCAATTATCTGAGATGCATCCTTCCAGTTGAAAGTCAAGCTTCTTGGCGTGAGTCACCGTTTGTGTTCCCGGCTTGAAGCGGTGCTTTTGTTCTGAGATGAGCACCATCGATACCAGACAGTCAAAGTGCTCGCAACTTCCAGCTGTATCTTCATCGGAGGGTGCATTTTTTACAATGTTTGTGTACAGCTTGATAGACTTGCATGGGGGTTGTTATGAATGAATGATTTAAAAATAACGCCTCTGTCACACCCCCCCCCCCCCCCCCCCATCTGTTTCTGCTCTTTTCTTCTTAACCAGGACTGGAAGAGTGGACAAACAATCGTGCCAAGGCACCGCCAGCACGAACAACCAAGGGAGTGTACAGAGATCAGCCGTACACCAGATATTGAACTGTTTATACAACCTGCACCTGAGTCCTCATGGCTGTTTCAACCCAAGTAATGGATTTTTTATGGACGCTCCCCCCTTTTTAGAATTGAAAACTAAACAGCTAAATAATACAAAAGAAATGGTGATCGTGAGACACTGAATGAGTTTCCAAAAATGGCATCCCCCTGATTATAAAAACAGGCTTCCACTGGGTAAAATGTGTAAAGCAATTTCGGTAATCTACCCTCTCCTCCAGGAGAAATTGACTGGACGTTGAGATTAAGAAAGACTCCATAGTACATTAAGTTTCTCTCTCAGCTATGTAATTGTGGAGAATGACATTGCACCAAGCTACTTCACTTGGTAATGATTGGTGATGATTCACTATAGGCTGTCAATACAACAATTCTACACAGCTGCCAGTGCAACTTAATGTATTACCCTCTATTCTTCAAACATTGATCTGCGTGGTTGGTCACTTTAAAATGTCGTAGCTTAGTTCTAGGGAAGTGCAGTACTGTAGATATTTTTTTTCTGAGGGGTAACGGGTGAAATTGTGTCCCTTGTAAATGAAACATTTACAAACTGAAAGAGAGAAAAAGTCATACTGTATACACAATGCTTTGCTGTTTCCTCCTTTTTGTAAATTAATTGTTAAATTAGTGTTAAAGGGCTTATAAAAGCATTGTGTGCATCTGTGGATATGTCGGCTGTTTTATTCTGAAAAGCCCATGTAGTTGTTCATGATTATGCCCCCCAAAACATCCAATTAAATACATATATAAATAGTCGCTCATACCTTATGCACACCAACATGTATAAATAGCCACTCATACTTCCTGTACACCGAAACAACCAGAGCAGTAAAACAATCCACAGGCTTTTTAATTTTTGTGATTTTTTTAAGATGCTCAACATAAGTAATTTTGATGTAATTTTTTGATTTGATACAAGATGACTTTGTAGGCATAATAATCAATTTTAAGATGCTAAATCACATGCTGGTGAATTTGTAATCATGTCCATCTGGAGATCTGTTCAACGATAATGATTTTCAGCTTATGTAAGCCCTTTAATATTTCTTCTTTGTTGATGCTCAATAAACATTTTGAAAGAAACCACTTGTGTTCGAGAGAATAATTATGGACTCATAAATACGACTCATAATTTAAACTAACTAAAATGAAAAAAAGCTGGACACGTTGGGAATTTCTACCCGATAGGTAGAGGCCTGTAATGAATTTAAACACAATGTATATCCTCATAACTAAGTAAGGGAAAAACAACACATGCCGTGGCATAAAATCCAAAGTGGTAGCAAGATGGCATTACCCGAAAAAACTGCTTACAAAGAGTAGAAACAGCAAATGGCAGTTTCTGACCTTGTAGATAAGAACGGTCTCCTATTGGTATTTGAGCGCCATGTGATGCATTTTGCTGGAAATCTCTCCAACCGAGATGTAGAGGATTTAGCGATAACGACTTTGCCGCTCCTGAAACCCTATCCGCTCTGTTTGTTCATATAATTCGATGTGAAGCGAACGGCTGATCACGTCAAGCATCATCAGTAAACACACATTAACTCTGTGAGTGTTTACCCCGACAGAAGCGGCTGGCAGCGCTGCACGAAAGCCTCCTTGACCTCTAGGCCATGTTCGGTTCAGTGCAGGGGGTGGGATTGCTCTCTCTTCTTGTTTTGCTCTTTCTGTTCTCCTTCGGTCATGTGACCCTCTCCCAGTCGTTTAAAGAGCCTGCCTTTGCCCCGTCCATTAAAGAGACTCTAAATGAGCCCCAGCTGACCTCCGCAGAGAGAGGATGGCAGTAGCTGTTTAAAAAGACCTCCGTCCCACAAGGTAAACAACCTGACCCAGTTTAACCTCTCCCCTAACGTAGTTGAACATAAACCCTCTCTAAACTTAAATGTAACATGTTTTCCTGTCTCTGTTAAGTCCGTAATCTAGCCGCAAACCTGGGAATAATTAGATATCTGTAACAAAAAACTGTAAAAAAGTATGATAAATAGCAGTAATATTTCAACGAACTGTATAGTGAAATAACTTTATCCTAAGACTTTGATAAAATATAGCCTCTGCTACAATAATTGAAACATAAAATGTGTTGTGTCATGGCATTTGTTTTCATAATATTAGTTGTAAAATATGTTTATGTTGTGAACTTGCATGGTCATGGTGTTTTTATGCTCCTTTTTTAGGCCGATTGCCCGGCTAGACCAGGCCATCCGTCCAATCATCTCATTGGTGGTAAAGGTATGTTGTTTTCTGCATTACCTGTCACATGATTATGATGGTGTGTTGCATGCAAAACATTCAAATATTCTGAAAGCATGAGGTCTCAAAAGGATCATAAATATTGAAACAAGGCAGTGTCGGCCAGCGCTTGGGGATTCTTGAAACGCTTCCAAGAAGTCTTCAGAAAAACGGTCAATAGTTTAACAGTTATTTCAATTATTGATAGAGGCATGTTGTGTCGATGTTGTACTTGTAAACATGATAATATACTGAAAATCAAATAAGGGTCAAATGAAGGCCAAATATATTGTTAGCTTCAAGGTTGGATCAGGCGACTCTTCCGGATTCTAGAAAGGCTTCCAAGACAAAATGGTCAATGGCTTAATTTCAGTGTTCTATATATATGATCAAATGTCTTGATCTAAACAAGCAGCTAAATAAGGGTGTCTACAATGATTTTTTCCCCATGTTAACAATCCAACAACAGATGAAGGGGTGACCCCCAGAGAAAATCTGGAACGATAGTCAAACCTGTTCAAAGTACAAAATGAAATATTCTACAGAGGACACCGTGTTATGACGTATCAAATATTAATGTGACTTTGAGGCAGCTTGATGTTCTCCTGATGGATATTTAATGTTGAAAATATTATCCCGGCCCTCGTGAAATCCTTCAGAATTGGCCCCTATAGTTTGGAGACTCGACCCTCAGCTCCAATCCCTCAGCAGCAATCCCCTTGGGGGGGGGGGGGATTGCTGTTCTGCTGGACTCCCTGCCTCACTTTGTACCTATGCAATTAGTGTATAAGAGCACTCTGCGTCATCTCAACCGCAACGGGGTCCCTGTTGCTGCACTTTGAAAATGACACACCGTGCTTGTATTAATTGGAGAAACGTGATGCCTGACTGCATTAGCCAGAAAAAGCTTGAAGTGCGGATACCAGGATGTGACAAAAGAACACTCCTGAAAATGTCTTTTGCTCTGCTTTTTCTTTTGTTTGAAGCTCATGTTGTTCGTCTTTCTCTTCTTTCCTCTCTTAATAGATTTGACCAACCGCACTCGAGCTTCCGTCCAAATATTCAAGCCCACACGGTGTCAAACGACACCACAAAGGATCTCCTCGACCTCGAGTGACCTGTTGAGATGCAGAAAAAGGGGGAAAAAGATAACGCATGTATCACACGTCGTCGTTCTCCGGTGAAAGGAAGGGGCAGCGGGAACCCGTGAGGCAAATGGAGTTCCTCATCCTCTGGGACGATCTGTCTGAGAATATTTCCTTGAGAGCTTCCCCGGTTCTGTATACATTTGACATACACACAGGAGTGCTCTAAACTGATTCTGAACCTGCCCTGTGTCTCTCTTGATTTAGACTGTTGTTGAGAGGATGTGTCCCCATTTACATTAGACAATGCCCACTAGGGAGGATGAGTAAATCAATAATGCAGTATGCTAAGTGTATGACATATTTATAGCAAAGACACTTCTAATCTCATATTGTTATGCTCATTAACCAATATCTCATCCACTCCGATGAATAAATAATTCACCAAGTGCCTTATTGTTGCATTATGACAGCTTTAGATGTTTAGTCCTGTTGCCAGAATTAAAATATGGGGCAGTGCAATAGAAAATGTAGCTTTTTTTCCTCCTTTTATGCTGTTTTTTGGTTTTCTGTATGCATTACCACGGAACTGGAAAACACCAGCCAGCCCCACACTAGAGTACAGTCTATTCCAGATGTATTGCTTAATCAGAATCGACTTCAGTGGATATTACAATTCCAAAATAGCTTTCTAACGGATAGAGAGCTTCATTCTGCCTTGTGCATAAGTCCAGATAGGCTGATCCGTATTCCACACAGTTGTATGTCCTCAGTGGCTGACAATAGTTTTCCATTAGAGGAAGTGATTCTCTCCGGCGCTTCGGGCCAAGCCTCAGACAATAACACGGCGACCTAAAGCTTGCATCTCGGGCTCCCGGAGTCAAGTCTCATCACCTCCGGGGGCTGATTCCCCCTCTGAGGTGGCTTTGCGAGACAGGCTTATCTGAAGTAAGCTTGTCCAAGTTAATAAAGTAAGAGCGGCTTATTTGATTAACAGTGCATACAAAGGAGGATGCTGTGATCTGTCACTGGGAGTGTCCATATCAACACTGAAAGACAGATCGATGGTTCCCAAACATTGGGTACTGGGACCACTAGTGGTGTTTTTAAAAGGCTTCTTACTATAAATGATGACACATGAACACACAATGTTCGACCAAAGTTTTGTCTCTTTCAAATGATTTCTGTATTTGTCTTTTTTTTTTTGCTATTGATTTTGTGTGGGTACGGTTCTGTTGGAACGTGATGTCATGTGTTTTTGTGCACCAATCAGAGTTTAGCGACATCATCATTTAAATGTTGCGGGGTTGTTTGCTGGTCAGCACCGTCAGTCAAATCGGATCAGACCACACCCACACAGTCCTGACAAAGTAGAGAACAGTTTCCAAGAGTCAGAACAGAAGATTGTTACAGAGGCAATTGAGAACAGAGACACCCCACTGAGACTTGATGTCCTGTATCTGTGTCACGTGGGTTTCGCCCATGCCCCGCCCCTTTAGGAGACTCCCAAATAACCAAAGAAAACATTGGGCCCACTGGGTACCATACCATGTCAAACCATTTGCGGAACTTGTAATGCATTGTTATAGAATATCTTTGATTGTTACGACACTCACGTCTGTATGGTAAAGCCAGCGGCCAGTTAGCTTAGCATAAAGACTGCAAATAAGGGGAAACGGCTAGCCCGGCCCTGTCTAGCGGTAACAAAGTCCACCTACCAGCTCAGTAATTAGAATACAGTATGTATTTTGTTTAATCAATACAAAAGTGTAAATACAATAATTTGCCAATTTGCTGAAGACTATTTCTTGGATGAGTAACGTCCTGGAGGGTCCAGTGGTTGTTTTTACACATTGTTGTTTGTACTTATTAAACAAAAGAAATATAACATCTTATTTAGTGAGCGTTGGAGGTGTGCAGATTTTGTTACAGCGCTTGTTTCTTATTTCTTAGCTTATTTAGTCATGACCATAACAGAAATCCATACAATGTTTCAATTCAAGTATTCAGATGCTTTAAAGTCACTATGTATATGTATAACCTGTATGTGATTATAATATCCGTGATGATATTTTAATGGTATATGATTTTGTTCGTTGGAAAATTAGACAATTGATCTGTTATAAATTGGTGCAGTTTATGTGTCGCTTTCGGCCCTTTTTTTCCCTCAATGTCCTCAGGTCAGATATGTGTGGTCAGGAGGGAGAGTGTCTTTTATAAACTGCCAAAGTCAGACATTTTAAAGTTCCAATCAAAGTGGTTTTAATTTCATTCCTTTCAAAGCAAATACAGGAAGAGATAGTTCACGACTACTACCAGCAACTTTCAATATTACATACCCATGTATAACTGATTTTGGTCAGTTGTATATATCATTTTTTTATTTAATTTTTTACAACAATGGCTTTTTGATTGTGTAAAGTGTGCTTAGCCACCTGTATTCCTCTTAATCATGTCCAGGGTCTAAAGTGGCTGTCTCCTGCCTTTTGTTCTGTAATTAACTGGAGCGCTCCTAATCTTACTGAGATCAAAAACACCCTGATCAATGTTGAGGTGCTCCTTCATCTCCTTTGGAAGTGAGCACTAATGTGACCAACGGTGCTGAATGCTAAGTGGAACCTCAGATTATGAAGGATCAATCGTTACACAATAGCAACAATACAGAGAATGTACCGGCATTATGTTGAGCAATGGAAATCTTTTCAATTACAATATACCCAATAAACGTCTTTCTCATGCGCATGCTTATTTTTGTGATTACTATTTTAATCAATGAACAAGAGGTGAAATTTTCATGTGCTGTTACACAGTTATCACCGATTCAACAAGTTAATAGTTTGTAGATATCCTTACTACGAATAAAGTTTTCCCAGAGTTTTAAAAAAAATGTTCTTTTGTCAAAATGCGTTGTGATTGTGCAGTTCTGACTGCAATGTGAGGCTTCTCTCCCTTTGATACCACACTTCAAAGTCAGTATATATGAACGCTGCACTGTGTCATGTTGGGAAACAAATCGCGGAGGCAATTTCCACGTCCCGACTGTTGAGGATTGACACTCTGTAAAGAAGTCTGAACTAAATGTAGTTTTAATAACTCAGAGGGGAAAGCTCGTGGAGAGTATTGGCAGTCGGCTTGTTTTCCTAACTTAAAGACTCCACCACTGCAGGGATATTGTTTACCTTGATACGCCCTTGAAATAATAGTTTCAGATCAAATAACTCTGTGTTGCAAAGGCTGTCTCCGTCTCCAACCTTTTAAATATTGTATGTTTCCCTCCGCTGCTGCCTTGGATGCATCTCTCCCCTCATGTAAATGCTCCCCCCCCCC